CCGCCAACCCACACAAGTGCTACTGAACGTTATGGGTTAAAATAAAAGGTCTGGCTGTAAAGCATCCAAACAGCTTTCCTTCTTCAAGATGATCTAGTGACAGAAGCCGCAAAACGTCGCGAAGAGATTAAACTGATTCGAGAAAAAAAATATCGCAAACATAAAAAGAAGCAACGGTTCAAGATACGGGGGCGGGGAGAGGCAGCTACACTATCATCAAGTTTGCCGTTAAAGGAAAAAACAAACATAATAAACAAGCATTTAACCGACAATGTAGAAATTCCACTCGATAGAATAAAGAGGGGGGCGGGGAGTTTCCAGAAAACCTGTGCATGGTAGCCGTTTGTGGAGTCGGGCAAGGGTGGACACCACAGTGGACAACAGAGGTGAGGGCTCTGTGTGCGAGTGCGTGCGCGCATGTGGGCAAAGCAAACAGGGTGTGAGGCAGGTTCAAAACCCGGGTGTTGCAACTGGGGGGGAAAAAATACCCCACCACAAACCACCATGCACTGGGAGAAATATACAGGTTATTTACCCCAAAGGGGGAGTCTTTCAATACATGTAAAGTGCTACAAAAATAAAAAAAAGACAGGCAAGAGTATTGTGTAATCTAGTTTTAAACTCAACCCTTTCGTGGACGGTGGGGAGAACTCCTTACGAGCTGCAGTCAGTACATTTGCAAAAAAAAAAAAAAAGGGAAAAAAGCTACATCAAAAGTACCTTCATTTTCATTTATAACAGAGCAAAACGAACAAGGAAGGAACAAGGCGTGGATCTTTTTTTTAATTCAGGGGAAAGATATGCAGAGTGTCCCTTCTACATACGTGAAAACCTTTTGCTTCTTGATTTTTCGATCCAACTGCGCTTTGCAGACCGGGAATCCTGACACCAAAGATGCCAGGAGACCATGACATTTTTCTCTAGCAGAAAGCACTCTCACGGCTGGAAGCGGGGGAAATCCCCACAGCATCCCAGAGGCTAACCCATTCTGGGCGGGGAGGGGTGGTGGCAAAACTCTGTTCCTCTGACTAGATCAGTGGCAGGAAGGTGCGGGCGAGGGAAGAATTAAGAAGGACAACATGCGGGCCTCTGGTTCTGGCCTTTGATGCAATCACTGTACTTCTAAAAGGCAGTTAATTGTAAAAAAGCAGCGCAGGAGAGGGAGAAACCCACATATACAGGAAAACATGGGATTGGTTGCCCGTATTTCCCTCTTAAGGTTATACGCTATATATAAAAATTATAAAAACGTTCCCCAAAAAGCATGTAGCCAGTCGTACCTAGCCTGTCACTGAATTTCCAGAAACCAGCTCCCCCCTTTTGTGTAATTTGGGGACGTCCTCCCTCCCCAAAGGTGGGCAAATGGCACGCACAGTGGTAAAAGTCACAGCGGAACCCAACAGACACAGCAAAAAGCAAGGCTCTGTGACAGCGTCTGGTCTTGCGAGGCCCGAGGGTAGGATATTGTAGTTTTTGTATATGGGCAGGGAGAACGCGCACATCTGAAGATGCTTTGTTGCTTTAAACCCACCAATGTTGGATTTTCCTGTCCTCTGGAAACAGGACTTGGCTCCCCCCCCCCACCTTCCAGCCAAATTCTTCATAGGCTCTCCTGCCTCCCCTCCTCCTCCCCCCACAAAGCATCGCAACGATTTGCAAACCCTGATATTACTACCAAAAAGAAGGGAGGGAAATCTTTAACTTTTGTTTTAAACAAACACGCAAAAAAGAGAGGACGGTGCACAGATCCGAAAAGATTTTGAAAGAAAAAGAAAAAAAGAGGACGTTCGAGAGCCGCTGCCGACTGACGGGAATATGCCGCTTATTCCAGAAATGTGACCTTGCTGTGCCAAGGCACTTTCCCTGCGTGTGGCGAAGCGGGGAGAAAAACAGCCACATCAATTGGGGAGACTGAGGCAAGGGCGGTTCTCTTAAGTCCGCCCGTCCCACCCAGCAGGCTCCGGCGACCACACAGAATTTGATACACTTCTGAGAATAACGCAGCTATGGGGGTCAACTGACACCACCCTGTGGCCTACCCTAAAAAAATCCAGTTTTCTAACAGAGCTTGGGGGGTAAACATGTCTTTGCACTCTGTTTAAGCAGAAGCTTTTGCCCGGGGGGTGGGGATGGGTGCACAAGTGAAGGCTGACAGACTTGTGTTATCAAGAACGGCTCTCGACACACAATTCTTCCCCCGCTGCCAGCTCACTGCCAACTGGGCATCCATCTGGTTTTGCACTGTACGCGACGACATGCAACAGCCTACTTGGTTTCTCGCATTGCCTGAAGGTCTATGTGAAGCAAGCTCTGTAAGACTGAGAGGTATGGCTGTCTTCAGACAACCATCGCACAGGAGAATCCATTCCTGAACTGGAAAATTAACAAACCGGGAAGGAGACAGAGAGGCACCGGTAGAATCTTTCTCTCTTGCTTGTGCCCCTCTAAACTGGCTTCCCTTTCAAAAAGGCTGAGTTTGAGTCAAAATGACTGCTTCCTGTTTACCTTTTCTCGTGTTGTGTGTTTTAATCCTGATCATGACCCCCCACCCCAAAAAAATAAACCCAGGGCAAAACTGAGCACGTGTTTTGTGAACCCCATGTGGCAACTCCTTGGAACCCAGGACTCTTCAAAACAGATTTGTGTCACGTTCTTGGATGGAAGTCCTGGGGTTGCTTTGCACCGGAACAGACAGTTCTGGTGCCCATGAGGCCAACTCTGCAAGAGTGGAGAGGTGCCAGACCGAGAGGTGAGCGCATGTGAGCCCCAGGAAGCATTCAGGAGTTACACAGGGTCACTGGGAAAAGGTAGGAGGCCCAAGAGTTTGTGAATCCACGGCTGGGATGTAGGATCAGGCTGACGAAACCCCCCCAAGATCCAAGACTGGACTCTGAACCAAAGAGCGCGTGATAAACTAGACTACCAAAGAGAGCCCAATCTGGTTTACTCGGCAGCTCGAAAACTCCCTCCCTCCTGCTTCCTTTAAGCTGACTGATGGGTGGGTGGTGAAATCAAGGTCCGGCAAAGCACCCCCCCTGCAGAAATAAAAAGCAGGGAAGAACAGAGAAGAGCCAGTTCTCAGTGAGAACAGGCCAGAAGAATAAAGCAACACCCATTGTTCCTGAACTGTGAAAGATGGAAGGAGCAAAAGCACAAAGCGCTCGACTGTTTTGCGGGCCGAGAGTCAAAGGAAGAGCTCTTTGAGGGGTGCTGAGGAGGCCGCGAGGGCCTTGCTGGGGGCACACGTTACGCGAGAACCCTCGGAGGCAGAAAGCGCAGGTACTGAGTTAAAGACTGTGCGCCCCCAAAGTCTGAATTAGTGCTAGGCCGCAGGATGCATAAAAATCTACAGTTATATTACGACTGTCATAATCTAAAGGAAAAGTTACTTGCAATGTCCTTCGGCGGGGTGCCCACAGGAGGACTTCCTACAGGACCAGGCCCTATTATTGGTGAGATTTCCTGTGCCCATGGTGAAGATTCTTCTGATAAGGCAGCAGTGGCTCAGTGACTCCGTATTCCAATGTGCCCCATTATGGGTACAGCTCAGAGACTGCTGGAGATGATAAAGACTGTTCCTGTCTGGAATGATCATTCTCAAAGACCATGGCCTTGGGTCCCACTGGCTTCCTAATGGGAAAAAGATAGCAGGATTGAACCAGGGCAGTTTTGCGATCCACTGATAGTGGGCAACAGTGAAACGGTCCACAAGGGACAAGGCGGAGAAGTCCACGTCGATTCAGTAAACTAGAGAAATGGGCAACTCAAGCCATTTGATAGATTGACTTGTGAAAACCGAAGGGTCAAAGGGCAACCGTCTCTTTGATCGGGAGGCTCCTTCTTAGTAAATTTCCAAAGCAATGATCCAAGGGACAGAACTGAGAACATCCACATTAAGATACGTAACCCTGAACCTGTTACTTGCCAAACTGGTTATTGGTCAATGCTTTGACACGACCACCAGTGCAACACAATATAACAGAGCAGGTATTGGAGCAATGGTCACTGCTGTCTGAAAGGATTCAAGCTTCAGATGTAAGAACCTCTGCTCATGTTTTGGACCTTAGCAACTGCAGAAAGATGTTAGATGCAAGAGGGTCTTGAGAAGATGCTAAGTTATAGTTACCCGAAACACACTATGAGCACTCTGGAGAATCATCTCTCAAAGGTTACCACTCCAAGTCAGCAAAGCGATTGGAATCTCCATGAAAATGGTAGAAGGCAGGTTGAGGGTGGCAGGTCATCTGAGCGCCTTCCTGTTTGGTGGTGTGGCTACTGAGGAGGTGTCCCAGGTAAGCCCTGGAGAGCTGGGAATGGCTTGAGCTGTGCTGATGCAGTTAGTTGTCAATGTGGTGGGGGACACTGGCGGGTCCCTAAAAGCGAATGGAGGCTGGTGGAGCCCAAGACGTTCTATTGTGCAACTCAACGGGCACCTTTAAAGGTGGCTCAAGAAAGGGAAGGAAACTGAATAATCCCCAGGGAAATGAACACCCACAGAAGTGGGGTGGGAGAGGCTCAGACACCAAACTGCACAGAACAGCTTCCAGCACGAGATGACAGATTTCAAGATCTTTCCTTCAGGGTTGAAATAGCTTTTCCTTGAGCAAAATGCTGTTGCAGTTTGCACACTAGGGACTTCACTACCTACCTTGCTGAAACCTTGTGCAAGCAGCACTGTCAGACTAAGCCCTGTTAAGTGGAGACCAGTGGCAGTCGCCAGCTGTGGAGCCTCACCCGTGCTAGATCAGATTTTATACACAGGTAAATCATATCACCTGAACACCAATTCATTCTACGTTGGGGAGGTTTGTATATCGATATGTCAGATGCTGTGCAGTATTGCGTAGAGGGGAAAAATTAAAATAACAAACCAAAACAAAATTTGAGCAAAACCAAATCAAATTTAATCGGCTTTTAAATGCAAAAGTAAAAACAAATGAAAACACAAAAAAGCAAAAGAAAATTAAACAGAAAACAGAACTCAAAGTTTCAAGGCAGTCTGCAGAAAACTTTGGGGATTAATTAAAATCTTAAGTCTACAAAAAAACAAAAAAAAACAAAATTTCGTCTTTGTTAAATCTCTAACTTGCATGTTTTACTGTACTCTTTCTGCAGAACGTTCAGTATGTAAAGCAGAACAAACCTCCTATTAAGATACAAACAAAAAAAATCTAGCACTTCTTAGAAGGGATGCAAAAAAGTTACAATGCTCAAATGTTCATAACAAGGTTTTATAAAAGAAACCTAAACTCAAGAATCCATACTAAAAATTATATTTGAAAGGAGGTTAAATCTTGCCATGTTTCTGATAACAGAAAGCAATGCACCAGGAGGTACCGTTTGGAGGTAAGAACTCTGAGGAAGTTCACGCCTGGTTCTGGAGTTTCATCATTTCCTTTACTCTGCTATCTCCCCAGAGTCTCTCTGAAACTCTTTGGTCCATGGTTATCGGAATTCGGCTTTTGATTCTTTTTGTTTTGTTTTTTGGGGAAAAAAGGAAAAGAGGCAGAAAACTTTTAAAAGTTTTCCAGTTTTATGTTTTGCCCATCCATCAACCAACCTGGTCAATGGTGTTCTAAAACACTGGCACGTTTGTATTCGGACTGTCTATTCTACAAAATTAATTGCAATTTGGAAGGCGGGTGGCAGAGGCAAAGTTTGCTTCTGCTTCCGTCCTTTGCTGGGCCTGGCTGTCCTAAGGTTGGCCAGGTTCCGGCCTTGGCCAGGCCAGCGTCCGCTGCCGTCCCTCAAGTCTAGTTGCGATCATCAATTTAAATCTTCCGGGGTGGGGGCGGGGGGGAGGGGAGGGAGGATGCTCTATTCAATCTGGGCCTCGGCAGGCTCCCTTCGGCAGAACCCACAACTGGTCTCTTAAGGGAAAGGATCTTGGATTCGGTTTCACCGCTGCCCCAGAGATCTAGCTGGTGTAATCAGTTTAGACTTCGGGGCTCAAGGGCAGAGAGTGAAGGGAACCGCTTAAGGGGCATCGGAAACCAATAGAACATTGCAAGACTCTTTTTTTAAAAAACAAACATTTGAACATGTCGGTGGCATCCCAGAATATAAAAACCCCTTTTCCGCTTCTTGTTTAGACTAAAGACACACAACTTTTGTGAAAATTGGCGCAGAAATGAGTTGTATGCTAAACAAAACAAAAAAAAAGTTTCAAACTTTTCCGTCACTCAATTATCTATTCCATACAAAAAAAAAGAAAGAGCCACGAGCGAAGTTATTTGTGGGACTTGTTGGTTTTGAAGGAAACCTGCAAGATTTTGTCCCCCAAGCGGTAGCCGTTAAGATTCGCTATGGCCATGGCGGCTTCTTCATAGTTTGTCATTGTCACAAAGCCGAAGCCTTTACACTTGTTGGTGTTGAAGTCGCGGATGACTTTGACGTTAGTCACCGCGCCAAAGGGGCCAAACATCTGCCAGAGGATTCCCTCATCGGCATCTTGGCCGAGGTTGTAGATGAAGATACACCAGCCCGAAGAGGAGTTTCCTGGGACATTTACACCAGAAAGCCCACTCATGTGATCTACACCCATAGGAGAGAACCTAGCAAATAAAAAGCACACAATAGTTCATGTAAACAAAACAACAAAATAAAAAAAGAGTCAGTTCAATCAAGCAAACTTGACACGGAATCAAGATTCAAGGAACACTGAAGGGGGATATCTGTTGGGGGGGGGAAACAAGAGCGTTGGCGGACCCCCCCTGGTGAGCAGAATCGACCCGTCAAAATTTCAAGGGACACCTTATGAAACAGCTTTTGCGGGTTGAGCGGCCGTTTTGTAAGGTGCATGAAGAGTTAACCTCAGCCAGCAAATACGTATGTATGCATGGGCAGAGGCAGGGAGAGCGAAAGAAAGAAAATTTAAAAAGTGGGGCCAAGAGGCTATGAAATGCAAGAGCTCCAGCCTGCAACACATCTAGGCAGGTTCTAATGTATACAAGACAGACTGTCCATTTGCAACAGCAGCTATAATGCGAGAGAGATATCGCAATGCTCACTCTTAGCTGTGGAGTCTTGTGAGCAAAAATTCTGCTTTGTGAGTTACTGGCATTAAAGTTGTGAGAGAACGATTTGGCTACTGCATAAATTAGTTTGCTCTGGAGCCACCCTTCCTGAGCTGAGACAAAAATGGGTGAGCTGGAGGGTAAAAAACTGCGAGCGGGCTCACAGTAACTCAGCTTAAAGGGAACACTGCATACAAGGCGAAGTGGACGCTTGCATGAAGAATAACAAAGCTATAAAGGCAGAGTTTTTCTCCTGAGCGTCTTCCTGGGCACGGGTGCCTCTGTTTGATTCCTGTACACCCTTGAGCATAGCATCTCGCATTGCACAACCCTGAGGCCCCACTGTTTAGTTTTCTGTCCCCTTCTTCTGAGAGCAGGATAACTTGGGGGGGGGAGGGGGGAGGTTGACAGTTCATGCACCTGGCAAAGCAGGCTCAAGCCCATGAAAGCTCATGACAACACAGGGACATGTCGGCCTTTTAAGTGCTGTCCTGGAGGCGACGGGCTACTATCGCTACCCCTCCTGAGAATAGGCTCAAGCCCATGAAAGCTCATGACAACAAAGGGACATGTCGACCTTGGAGGCGATGGGCTACTATCGCTACCCCTCCTGAGAATGTCTACCAAGAACTCCTCCTCCACAAGGCCCAGTGAAGTGAGTACAAGCAGACACCCGGGCACATGCTGCTCGTACCCACACCCATCTGGCGTGGGTATAGGAGAAGTTGCCAGCAGACTGCCTTCCTACCTTAAATGACAGGCGCAGTATCATCAGTGGGACTGGGGGGGAGGTGCTGATCCTAACACATCTTTGCACCCCGTTCCTTCCTGAACCACGGGGACCTGCCTCCTTCGTCGCGCTGGCTTTGGGGAGTGCGTCAGGTGACTGTCTGCAGCCCTTCCCAGATTCCGTAACCTAAGCCTGCCCTTCGGGGCTGGGTGGACTCTCGGCTCAAAGCATCCCCAGGAGATGTTATCTCAGCCAGTGTGTAGGCATTCTTCCCTAGCAACGTCCGCTGTCCTGCCCACCCAGTTCCCAGTAAAGTGTCCCACTAGGCTTGGGTGTCCAGACCCGGCTTCTGCTCTGACACGAGGCAACGTGACAAATGTTTGTGCTCGGACGTTACTGCTGCATTTGGGGAAATGCAGCAGACCTTCTGGCAGGGAGAGGCAAAAGAATCGTTACTGGGCATTTAAAAAACCAGCAGACCAAGGCTAGTCCTTCACACAGATGAGAGAGGATCCCTACCAAGCAGAACCGGAGGGGCCAAAGGCTGAATGGCTAATAACTGTCCGGCTGTTGATACGCCAGCTTGTCGGGGCATTCCTACTGAGCGTTCTCTCAACCAGGAAGAGCAGCAGGCTGAACTGTTTAACCAAGTGTTGTACAAGGGGGGTGGCCAGACCTGTTATGTGACCGGATCAACCTTCAGAGTTCAAATGATCCTCCAGACCCTGGTTTGGGGGAACCATTGACAAGCCACCAGAATGTATTCCCTCTTCACCTCCTGCATGCGGCTTCTCTTTCTGTTTCCTACTTAGACCCCACCACAGTTTGCTGCGCCTGTCTGAATGAGGAAGCGGCTGCTCTCCAGGCAAGAATTGGATCCTCACTTCAAACCATGGCTCGCCAATCAGGTTTGGAGGGCCGGTGCTAACTGTGGCTTGCTGATTCAGATGCTGCAGCAAACCAGCAGACAGGAAAGGGAAGGCGAGTTTGCGGCTTGTTCACAATCCTCCGAGAGACTGTTTGGAGGGCTATCTGAACCCAGCCGTTAACTCCTGTTCAAGGCATATTTGGGGCTACAGGTTTCGTACCCTGGCCAAAATCCTTTCAGTAACGTAACACATCGGGGAAAACCATCTACATGGAAGAGGCTGAGTACAGGCAGATAGAAGAACATGTATTTATTTAACATGTAACAAGAATTCTAGGACAAGAATTCTGAAAATACCCATCTGACTCTACACTTCTGGAGAATGAAAAATTAAAAAAAAACATGCAAGGGTTTCCACTGAAGAGGCGACTATTAGAAGGAATTTACAACAAGCATTATGTGAAAATGAGCAAGGACTTGAAAAGGGGGGGGGAGGAGGAAAAACAAACAAAAAAAGACATAAGTCAATGAAGTAAGAAGCCAAAACCAGAGAAACAGGAAGTTGGAAGAGGGCTACCTTGCAAAGACGGGGATGAGATTTTCAGATGTGTACACAGTGAATTTAGATTCTCAAAAGGTGTGGTTCAGACGGCACAGCGAACCACTGCTTGCAGCTGTGTGGAGCGGGTGTGGGGGAGGGCGGGTAACTGAGGCTAGTGCGTCCCCCATCTCTACTCAGCTACATCCAGACCACTAGCTACGTTTGTGGCAAGCCAGAAATGACGGACGCACATCCGAACCGGCAAACTGTGGCTCGTGCTTCCTCCAGTACCAAAATCCCAACAGCAGCTTGATGGTGGGGAAGGAGCCAACCAGTCTGAGATCCCCCAGGTGACTGTGCCTTACATCTAACCCACATTACATGGGATACACAGCAAAAGTATAATGTGGAACTTCTGGGGAAACCTGCAATACCCAAAATGCTTTGCTGGTTCCTAAGTAAGAGCGGCTGAGTAAACCTCTTGGACGCCGAACCTGAACTCCTATGGATTAACGGACTCGCCATCTCAAAACGAACCGCTAATTAAGTGGCTGCTGAGTGATTACATTATCTATAGTCTGATTATTAATACTTCAGTCAACAGGAAGTCAACTAGTTACTATGCAGACTAACTGGAGAGAGAGAGAGTGCGAGTCAGAGATTCTGCTAGCCTGCTTGACTATGCTTAGAAAAGGCTACTAATTATGATTACTTTCTCAGGATTATGATTTATTAGACTGCAGTCATTCTGGCGACAAACTAATGGAGAATGTGCACACACATTAGTGTCTACTATTTATTGATTAGTGCAGGATGATTAACTGTAGATAAAGCAGCACTATTTTGAATAAGCTTTTGAGTAATACTTAAAAAAAAATGGGTAAAAGCTGTGGTTATCAAAACTACGTTCTCAGGAACTCTGATGTTCTCTGAAGATTGCCGGGGACTCCTCATGATTAGTGACAGCAGCAGAAGTTCTCCTGAAAAGGCCGGGACAGTGGCACAGCACGGGCTTGGCAAGAATAGGTCTTGTTGGTTCAATCCCCGAGCATCTCCAACTAAAGGAGGAGGAGGAGGACACCAGAGAGCTGTTGCCAAGTAGAAACAGACCGTGCCAGGCCAGACAGGCCAATGGACTCGTTTGGTCAAAAGCAGCGTCATGCGTTCACACCCCATCCTTTACGGAACACTCCCCGTGGAGGGGAGGGGCTGTGTACCCTCGCAGCTTGCGTGAGGGATCAACACGGCCCGACCGCGGAGGAGTCAGTTGATCCCCGAGACGGTTTTCCAACAGGACTCCACGCCAGCCAACCTTGTGGCCTCTTGCAGTGGGAGCCCGGGAGTGGGTGACGGGCGCGCGCAGCCAGGGACAGGGGGCCGCTAAAGCCTCGTGCAGAACACTGAAGTGAAAAAAAGGGCAACGGTTTTTGTCAGAAAAGAGGATCAATAGGGATGCATGATGGACAGAAAAGGCGCTGGAGGGCACCGTTCCCGTTACATGACCCAACAGCTTTACAAATAATAATAATAGATCAGCCAATACAGAGGGAGGACAGTGTGCAAGAGGAGGGCCGCAGACCTTTAGCAGGACTGACTAAGGCACTGCAAAGTCGTGCGCATGCTTTCACTGAGGTCTTCTTCAGGCCAGATGTTAAACAAATGATGGGCAGAAGCTGGGGGGGGGGAGAGAGGAGAGAAGAGAATAGAAGCAAAGAGAAGATTAGAGCAAAAAATCACAACTATGGTTTGTAAACCGGTAGCTGCATTCAGGGTGCTCAGAGCTGCAATAGCAAATATGTTATTTAAAATCATGAGTGCTGGCAGCAAACAGGGATTTTGGAACTGGCTGGCCTTTTAGATCTTGAACCAGGATTGGCCGTTGCTTACACCCGTCTGTTATTCGGTTTAAGAGCCCCTTACAAGAAAGGTGGGTTTAAAACCCCTTACAATAAATAGAAAACGCTTTAAGGAAATTTTAAAAGGCTTTACATTTAACTGCTGCCTTCCTGTTGCTTGTCTCTTTCAAGGGCGGGATTGTTACAATCTGAATGTCTAAGCTGCTTTCAGCACAGTTTTTAATATGAAAAGCAGTTTTGAAAAGGAAACACAAGTAACGTCTATATAGGCTGAAGGCCGGTTGTTTTAACCAAACTGGAATTGTGCCATTCCTCAGGATGAGGGTCAGGCAGCCATTCCGCCTGTAATCTTAAAGCGACACTGTCGTCTGATGGACTATGGGTTGGAGTCTGTGGATCCGTTCCACCAATGACAGCGCTTTCTCTGGTACAAGAGGCTTAAAAAGGTGCCACCACCAGTGGAACAGTTCTAAAGAATCTGCCCTGTGTTAGGAAGCATCACACAGACAAAACGTTTCAATCTTTATTAATGGGAGGAAAGGGGGTCTGAAGGACTTTTTAGTCTTCTACTTGGGGGAGGGGGGCGAGAGAGGGGGAAAGGAGAGAAAAGCTCATGGAACAGAACAGAAATGGACATCAACAATGATTACTGACACAGCTGGGGGATACATATTTCATTTGGGTGATCATAGTTAACTCAGACGGCAATTAAGTTGGAAAGAAAAAAATTATCTCAAAAGCTAGTTATAGACGGCACCTCTAGAATGACACAAAAATGCACTTAAAAAAAGAAAAAAGAAATCTAATGGAAGATGTTGGAGGTGCAATTGGGACCGAGGTGATGGTTTCCACGTGAGCTGTCGAGAAACATGGGGAAAAAGTGGTTAAAGGAATACCAGAAATCACTGGATACAAAACTTACATTGAATCCTAGCGTGACAACCTTTGGGGGATATTTAATAAGGATGGTACCTGTGACCGATGCGTGGCTTTAGAGGGGATGGAAGACCCTAGTCATGGCTCAATTCACACACATGGTTAGGCTGAAGGAGGGGGAGACAATGAAGGGAAATCAACTGAAGAAAAGCAGTCTCCGCTCCCTAGATGACTGGAATGTAAGAGGCTCACAGGATGTTAATCCTAGTATTTAGACATGTAGTGTGTTCACTACTGCTTTCTTCTCTCCCTTTCATCTAACTACTGGAAGGGGCTTTCTTTTTTTTAAATTGGGGTGGGGTGCCTGAGGATGAGTGGTGATGGTTTAAAAACAAAAAAAGAGGCGAGGTAGAGGAAGAGAAAGAGAGAGGCACACACGCAACACAGAGCTCTGACCATTATTATTATTATTTTTTGGTCCTTCCTAACCTACCTGAATCTCTGAGCCTGGTGGTGGACGGGCCCCCCGAACCGTCTCGCTGGTGAGTGGTACAGCTGCGAGAGCAGCGCCGCGTTCTTGTTCTGGTTGGGATTGGCGGCAAACTTCACAGTGATCGGCTCGGAGGAACCCGGAGGCTTGTGGCCGTTGAAGTTTGTGATGGCCTCTTCAGCCTCAGACCGCTTGTCAAACCGGATAAAGGCAACCCCTCTGGAAAGTCCTTAAAACCAGTAAGGAGAGAGACAGAATCAGCCATTTTCCCCCGCTGCCCACCACACCCCTGAACATGTCCTCTTGCACAGGCATGTTGTAAACAGCAAAGAAGAGAAGAGAACAAACATAAAATCTAACCCGCGTGAGGCACTCCTTAGGCCCGAGGATTTCAGTGGGCAGAAGTTCAGCACACACAGCCGAGAGAAGAGGGACTAGGGGTACACGATTCCCACTGCCCGGGTGGTGGGGGGGGGGGGGGGGGGGGGCTAAGAGACATGTTGCCCCACCCGTCTCATTTTGGTCTCATAGGAGAGTAAGGAAGCAGCCAGCATGATGCCTGTTTCAGCAATTACTGAAGCTTGTCAGATGCTTCCAAAATGGGCCAAGATGTCGGGTGTTTTTTTAATGTTTATGGGGAAAACTAAGAACTCTTTTCAGCTGTCAGCCTTACTATACCAGAGCTCCCAAACTATATGCATTTGTCTCAAGAGCGCCACATTTCAGATCATCGCTGCTACCCTCTTGCAGACGGAGGACAACTCTAAAAGCATTTTCGTGTGTTCCACATGGGATTATAGTGACGGAGACCATTTTTCAATTCAGGATCAGCAGGGACAAAAGGGCCGAATCTCCATGCTAAAATCCCATGCGGGGAAGGGTTCCTCGTCCACCCCCAACTCAGTCCCATCCACGCCCCCTCTCTCAGGTCACCCTGCTACCCTGGGGGCACAGCCTGGGAAAGACAGAAAGAGGCACAAACCGATTTGCGCTCTGGGTGCATAAACATAAACTGGTGCCTGCGGAGCCAGTGGAAAGCCCCCCTCCAACCTGCAGCAACAGTGCCACCGTGCGCACCTGTAGTCTGGTCAACCAGCACACGGGAGTTGATAATGCGGCCAAACCGTGAAAACATGTCTTCTACGTCTTTCTGCGTCATCGTCCTGGGCAGTCCGCTGATGTACAAGTTTGCGTCTTTGATAACCTCAGAGCTTGGGCGGGCATACGACACCTGAAAAGGTGGGGGGGGGGGGAAGCAGAGAATCCCTTAATGTGGGCATGCACAGTCCCAAGTGGTCTGCACGCACACGGCCTTCCTTCCTAGGCAGCTGTGCCTTCCCCAGCCCTGCTTGCATCACAAAGCCACGAGGATCATAAGAACATAAGACAGGCCAATGCTGGATCAGGCCAATGGCCCATCTAGTCCAACACTCTGTCACACAGTGGTAGAAAAATACCAGGTGCCATCAGGAGGTCCAGCAGTGGGGCCAGGACACTAGGAGCCCTCCCACTGTTGCCCCCCCCTCCAAAAGCACCAAGAATACAGAGCATCCCTTGCCCCAGACCAAGAGTTCCTATCTATACCTTGTGGCTAATAGCCACTGATGGACCTCTGCTCCAGATGTTTATCTAATTCCCTCTTGAAGCTGTCCATGCTTGTAGCCACCACCACCTCCTGGGGCAGTGAATTCCATGTGTTAATCACTCTTTGGGTGAAGAAGTACTTCCTTTTATCTGTTCTAACCCGACTGCTCAGCAATTTCATTGAGTGCCCACGACTTCTTGTATTGTGAGAAAGGGAGAAAAGGACTTCTTTCTCTAACCCATGCATAATCTTGTAAACCTCAATCATGTCACCCCTCAGCCGTTGTTTTTCCAAGCTAAAGAGCCCCAAGCGCTTTAACCTTTCTTCATAGGCAAAGTGTTCCAAGCCTTTTATCATTCTAGTTGCCCTTTTCTGCATTTTTCCAATGCTATAATATCCTTCCTGAGGTCTAGTGACCAGAACTGTACACAGTACTCCAAATGAGGTTGCACCATCGTTTTATACAGGGGCTGCTTTGTTTTCAATTCCCTTCCTAATAATCCCCAGCATAGCGTTGGCCTTTTTTATTGCAGTCGCACACTGTCTAGACATTTTCAGTGAGTTATCTACTACGACTCCAAGATCTCTCTCTTGGTCGTGGCATGACTGGAAGGTACAGCCTTGCTAAAACTAAGTAAGCATGGGTCTAGGTCTGGATGAGACCCCTTCAGGACCCCACCCTCCAGCCACACACCACCCATAGTGCCTTGGTGGCAGAAAGAAGAAGAAGAAAAGAGATTGGATTTATACCCCGCCCTTCACTACCCAAGGGAGTTTCAGAGCGGCTGACAAACTCCTTTCCCTTCCCCTCCCCACAACAGACACCCTGTGAGGGAGGCGGGGCTGAGAGAGCTCTTGACAGAAACTGCTCTTTTTCAAGGACAGCTCTTATCAGAGCTAAGGCTTGCCCAAGGTCATCCAGCCAGGTGCAAGTGGAGGAGTGGGGAATCAAACCCGGTTCTCCCAAATTAGAGTCCGTGCACATAAAAGAAGAAGAAGAAGAAGAAGAAGAGATTGGATTTATATCCTGCCCTTCACTACCCAGAGGAGTCTCAGAGCGGCTTACAAACTTCTTTCCCTTCCCCTCCCCACAACAGACACCCTGTGAGGGAGGCGGGGCTGAGAGAGCTCTTGACAGAAACTGCTCTTTTTCAAGGACAGCTCTTATCAGAGCTAAGGCTTGCCCAAGGTCATCCAGCCAGGTGCAAGTGGAGGAGTGGGGAATCAAACCCGGTTCTCCCAGAGTCTGCGCACCTGACCACGACAACAAACTGGGAAAGAAAGGCAGGATCTTTGCAACAAATAAAGTCAGAAAGCTGCAACACCAGGCAGAAAGGACTAGGGTGGAGGGAAGGGGAAAGGCTTTGAGGAGGCTTGCCATCCAGCTGTCGAGAAACAAAGAGGTCCAGAAAGCTTCAGAGAAGCAGGACACCCATGACAATGACTCCTGCTAGCCTGGATCAGCCGAGTCACATTCACCTATTTTTACCTTGATGGTCTTGGACTGCAGTCTCAGGCCGTTCAGTGTGTTTATTGCTCTCTCCGCATCCTTTGCTGTCACGTAGTTCACAAAGCCGTAGCCCAAGCTGTGCCCTGCAAGGGAAAAGAAGAAGACATTTTAGAAGCGCACCATTCTTTGGGTCACAGACCAGCATCATACAATTCGCAAGTAGTTTCAGGATCCACTATTATCCACAAAGCTGACAACTTCTAGAGTGGATAACTGTCAGATACTTCGGGACCTTTGGAGAGGACATGTAAGAGGCCTGCTTAAAATGATGAACAGGACATGGGGAGAGGAGAAGAACCATACTTTTTATGCTGCTGTTCCAAACCATGCCACTGGCTTTCCTGGAAGATGAGGACTAGGCAAAGTCAGGGGACTTTGAGTCACCTCGAACACATGCAGCACGAGACACCGGCTAGCATTTTGGACAGCCAAGAAGCATCCCCCACAATGGCTAAGAAATTCTGGCAAAGGCCTAAGCAAACCTGGACAGAGAACAGCTGGCCCAGAAAAAGAAGAGAGAAGAGATTGGATTTATACCCTGCCCCTTCACTTGGAGTCTCAGAGCGGCTTACAAACCCCTTTCCCTTCCCCTCCCCACAACAGACACCCTGTGAGGTAGGTGGGGCTGAGAGAGCTCTGAAAGAACTATGGCTTGCCCAAGGTCATCCGGCAGCTGCAAGTGGGGGAATCAAACCCGGTTCTCCCAGATTAGAGTCCGTGCACTTAACCACTACACCGAACTGGAGACAGCCAGCATGGCACAATGACCAGACTAGGCGCCCCCCTCCATTACTCAAGCTAACCTCCCCACCCACCCCGAATTTAAAGAGATGTGATATGTGATAGAAACAGCTGTCCATTACTTATTAAATTGATGGACAGTAGATTCAGGGTTTTTAAAAGTCCTTTGCACATAAGAATCAATACATTTTTGGCATGTGCTACTAGACAACAGCCAACGGTTTCAATGGCTTTAAAGGGAGGAGTCAGGCAAATTCATGCGAGAGTTCAATCGATGGCCACAACAGTTAAACTGCACCTTCGTGTTCAGAGGCAATTGTCTCCAACTGCTAGAGACCAACGAACCACAAGGGAAATCCTTCATGCCCTACTTACAGGTTTCCCGTAGCAGAAGACTGGAATCAGAACGCTGGACTAGATGGGGTTTTGGTAACCGTTATGTTAGGAAGGCCGTTATATTTCTGTAGGATAATAAGGCTTGCCTCTACACTTTATGTGAGGTAGAAGCAGGTAACTGGCCACACAAAACCTCTGACCAATCAATGGCCTCTCAGACACAGGGGTGAACTTTACAAGCAGGCAAGCCCCACACCCCGAATTCAGTAACAAAAGAAATAAATAAAATGTTGAAGTATTTTTACTGTCACATTAAAACTTGGCTGCAATAACACCCCCACACGTGCTCCACCTAACTGGCTGTATCCCAACGGGACTGTTCCACTAGTGGTGGCACTTTGGTGCAAGAGGCTGCCAGTGCTACCGGACCAGATCCATGGGTTCCAGCCCACACAGAGCACAATCATTCTTCCACGGCAATCTGGCGTTAAAATAAATCCAGTAAAATCTCTTGCAATGCGATGTTGTCCCTGGGTTGGGTTGTTTTTTTTAAAGACACACACACACAATTTACCTGCAACTTTGTCACGTATCAGCTTCGCAGATTCAACTTCTCCGATGCTGCTGAACAGGCTCCGTAACTCATCCTGGGTCATGTTTTGAGGGAGGTAGTTAACGATTAAGTTTGTCCTCCCGATATCGTCCCTGCAGTCTTCAGCCATGTGATCTTCATAACCATTAGACATTTTATTTAGAAAAGAAGCCTGCCGGGAGACAAAAGAAAGAGCCCTTGGGAGTTCTGGGGTTTTATTTTTCCCAAATAAAGTACAGCTGAAGCTGAAAAGCCAAAAACAAAGTAAAGGACAGTGTTCCTGATAAGGGAAAACAGATTGGCTGAACAATGCAGTGCGCACTTCAGAGCTGAATGACTAAAATTAAGGTCTACTGGACCAAAAAAAGCACAGAACACAAAACATGAATTCATTTGCACATTCCTTACAGGGCTCTCTTTCCTAAAAACTGAGGAGGCAGTGTGTGTGGCCACTACTAATTTCCCCCACCGTGTATGCAACTCACACGATAAGAAACTGTCCTGCAACTATCAGGTTGGCCATGCCCATTACTGATTTCACTCAAACACTGCTCACAAGATCCACTATGTAACAGACTTAAATATGGAATTACAAAGAATTTTAAAAAGACCCGAGGTCCACAGAACAACCATATATGTTACACTCAAAAGCGATCCTGAGATACTCCGTCTTCTCAAGGTATCAGCATCAAGCGCCCAAACTCATAAAAATTAACCATGTTTCTCTTTTTGGTGAAGCGAGAAAGTGAGCGAGCACACAGAGAAAAATCCCATTCACAATATTCAAAAAGGAAACTAATACACGTGTCAGCGTAAAGTAGCTGTTCTGTAGTTACTAAGCTGAGCGCACATCTTGGACTATCGCAAGGCAGAAGTGGTTGCTGGAAGAGATGCTGGTCTTCTGTTATCACATGTTTAAACTCTATGCACAGTGTTCTGTTAGCAAATGAAAAGGTTGGCTGTAACCCATTAAGTGTGCAAAAAAAACCCAACCCCAATCCACCCTCAATACAAATGGCAACACGAACTCTATTTTTACATCCCTGTTCTCCCTTGGGTGAGAACCTGTTACATGACACAATGAACACACGGGTCACCACCAGAGACAACTGCGCAAACATGGGGTGGGAGCATACACCCATGCGTAAAAGCTACTTTCCTTGCTGGCGGCAGCCTTTCCATCCAGCCCAATACACTCTGAGGTTCCCCTCCTTCTCTAGAGGCACTCCTGATGGCAGAATGCGCGCTCTGCACAAGAGAAGGGACGCAGCCAGTTTTGGTGTAGTGGTTAGGAGCACAGACTCTAATCTGGGAGAACTGGGTTTGATTCCCCACTCCCCCCCCCCACATGCAGCTGCTGGTGTGACCTTGGGCAAGCCATAGAGCTGTCCTTGAAAGGGCAGTTCTCAAAAGAGCTCTCTCAGCCCCATCTACCTCACAGGGTGTCTGTTGTGGGGAGGGGAAGGGAAAGGTGTTTGTGAGCCACTCTGAGATTCTGAGCAAAGGGCGGGGTAGAAATCCAATCTCCTCTTCTTCTTCTACTATAAGGGGTATGGATTTAGAAGCGCCTTTAACTGGAACTGGCAACAGACATATCGCTGAATGACCACAGATGGCCATGGCAGCAGCATGCTAGAAAAATCAGTCCCTAAACCATGGCTAGCCATGATATCTCCCACCAGCTCTGTGGGGGCTGTGCTCTTCAGCCTCAGAGGGACTGGCTCTGGAAGCTTTCCGGCAACGATGCGGAGAGAACAGAGAAATGCTACGAGCAGCAGCAGCAGCAGCACCCGTAGCTGGGTCACCTCCAGCACAGAGCACGCAACCAGCGCAAGAAGATGTGCTGTGGCCCGCAGGGGAGGCACGTCTAAGGGGATGCTGGCGCCATGGCAACAAGTTGGTCTAAACAGGATTACAGTTCCGGTTTCGATCTGTCTAGCGTGCTTCTGTCCTGCCCTTCCGATACAGCAGAGTAAGTGGCTGTCCCACACTGTAACCCCTGCAAGGCTAATCAGGCAGTGAGAGTGTCTGTCCAAAGGTCAGCCAGTGAGTTTCAGGGCAGGTCAAAGACGTGAATCTGGGTCTCCCACATTCTGGTCCAGCACGCTAACTACTACAATACCCTGCAAATACACGAACAGACCCTCAGCAGAGGCAGGCTGGGAATCAGGAGTATAGACCAGGCCTCTTTCGCTGTACCACAACTCCACACACCCCACCCCACCTGGGAGAGCTCTACTTCTCAGCAAGTTCCCTCACCTAAGAACATAAGAGAAGCCCATGTTGGATTAGGCCAATGGCCCATCCAGTCTAAGACTCTGTCACACAGTGGCCAAAAATACCAGGTGCCATCAGAAGGTCCAGCAGTGGGGCCAGGACACTAGAAGCCCCCCCCCCCACAGCATCCCTTGCCCCAGTCGCACAGTCGAGTCCGACTCTTCGCGACCCCATGGACCAGATCACGCCAGGCCTTCCTGTCTTCCGCCGTCCTCTGAAGTTTGCTCAATTTCATGTTCGTTGCATCTATGACACTGTCTAACCATCTCATCCTTTGCCGTCCCCGTCTTCTTTGACCTTCAATCTTTCCCAGCATCAGGGTCTTTTCCAGTGAGTGCTCCCTTCTCATTTGGTGGCCAAAGTATTTGAGCTTCAGTTTCATTATCTGGCCTTCCAGGGAACAGTCAGGGTTGATTTCTTTTAGGATTGACTGATTTGATCTTTTTGCAGTCCAAGGGACTCTCAAGAGTCTTCTCCAGCACCATAGTTCAAAAGAATCTATTCTTCGGCGCTTGGCCTTCCTTATAGTCCAACTCTCGCAGCCATACATGACTACTGGGAATACCATTGCTTTGACCATGTGGACTTTTGTTGGCAGGGTGATGTCTCTACTTTTTATCATGCTGTTTAGGTTCGCCATCGCTTTCCTCCCAAGGAGCAGGCGTCTTTTAATTTCATGGCTGCAGTCACAGTCTGCGGTGATCTGGGATCCCAGGAACGTGAAGTCTGTCACTACTTCCACGACTTCCCCTTCTATTTGCCAAGGAGTGATGGGGCCGGATAACATGATCTTAGTTTTTTTGATGTTGAGCTTCAAGCCCACTTTTGCGCTCTCCTCTTTTACCCTGAGCAAGAGGCTCTTTAGGTCCTCTTCACTTTTTGCCATTAGAGTGGTATCGTCTGCATTATCTGAGGTTGTTGATCTTTTCCCCAGCAATCTTAATTCCCGCTTGTGATTCATCCAGGCCAGCTTTTCGCATGATGTACTCTGCATATATATTTAATAAGCAAGGTGACAATATACATCCTTGTCGTACTCCTTTTCCTAAGCGAAACCAATCAGTTGTTCCATATCTGGTTCTAACTGTCGCTTCTTGACCCTTATACAGGTTTCTCAAGAGACAAGTGAGGTGGTCTGGTACTCCCATCTCTTTAAGGACCTGACATAGTTTGTTGTGATCCACACAGTCAAAGGCTTAAGCATAGTCAGTGAAGCAGAAGCAGATGTTTTTCTGGTACTCTCTTGCTTTCTCCATAATCCAGTGAATGTTGGCAATCTGATCTCTAGTTCCTCTACCTCTTCGAAACCCAGCTTGTACACCTAGCTATACCTTGTGGCTAATAGCCACTGATGGACCTCTGCTCCATATGCTTATCTAATTCTCCCTTGAAGCTGTCCATGCTTGTAGCTGCCACCACCTCCTGTGCTGGGCTCGACACTGAGAGGGGTGTAACTGCATCTCCCATATCAGATACCCAGTGAAGGGGAATGCTAGTGCTCTTGTGAACTGTACCTTTCCTGATTACATTTGAACATCGCATTAGCATTTCCCACCATGGACGTCCTGCATTCCACGGCTCTTTGAGCCGGTTTATAATTTTCTTCACAATTTATACATTTATGCTTGTTTGCCTACCTAGTGATCATCCACCCACCTGCACCTGACCAAGTGAGTGTAGTCCATGAAAGCTTATGCTGCAATAAAAACTCATTAGTGTTCAAGGTACCAAAACAATAACATCGCTACCCATCTGGAACTGACTGAAGAGAAGATCTTCAGCTCTGCCTTTGGGGCAAACCGGAGCAATTTGACAGTCTGAAGCAATACCATCCCTGTCACTTGACGCTTCTCTGCAGACTTTGCTTAGTTGCCAGTGGGCAACTCTTGGTGCATACCAAGAAAGCGTGGGAGCAGGTGCCGTGTTGCCTCCGTCACCACAGCATTCATGCTCCCTGGCACCCAGGAGACAAGAGTGAAAAGGCCAGATCACCCGAGTTTCAATCTAGCTGGGTCTACCCTAAGAATGGACAGCGCCAGCATGGAGGTTTCCTTCCAGTCTCAAACACCACTTGGGAATTCGTATCACTGGCTCTCCTGCTCCATTCAACACACACACACACACAATACAGAACCAGCCCTAATTGACATCAATCTTTCCATGTACAAAAGCCCATTTCATGCTCCATGGAGAGGAGGAGGAAGTGAATTTCACTAGAGCTGCAGAGGGACAAAAAATGCATTGCTAAGTTAAAACAGAGGAGGTCTTTCAGCAGGGAGAACAACAATGTTAGAGACGCTGGATTCTACAGTCCGGCAACTCTAAGTCTGCTGCTTGTGCATTCCAGCTCTTTTTCTGTAAAATTAAGACGGAAGCAAGAATTTGGAATTCTAGCAGATTCCCAAGATTCCAGGACTTATTCCAAAGGAGGGGAGGGGAGTTACATTTGTTGCAGCCCCATTCGACGAGAGGAAAAACAGAACAAGACTATAACAGAAGGCATACCCTGGTGAATATGTTTATTGTTCTAGCTAATCATGGGACAAAAATAGAATTAGCAGGAAGCGTACCAACAAGACCTGGCATGAGAAAAATATTCCTACCATCTTATTAATCAGCTACTGAGTATTAATGATCGCGGGCAGTTTGGGCCCAACCATCCGACTTGGGCTGCTATTTACTTGTTAGAGAACAGGCACCCAGATCTTTGATTTACTCACGAGAGGTACCAACCTCTCATGAAGCGAACAGATTCTTGGGGTGTAGCTTGAGTTAGATCAGGTATGCTTTTCATTATTTAAAATTTATACTCCACTTTCGGAGTGGGGCAATTTCCCTCCGCGGAAGTTGACATGGAGGTCATTCGGTCGCAAAGCAGTCTCTCAGAGAACACCA